ATAAGTATATTTATAAAAATTTGTTTTAAATATTGATGTAAGGTAAAAATCTAATTCTATAAATTCTGAACTTTTATTTGATAAAATAAAATTACTTGTAAAGATTTATTATATAAAATCTTAAATGTTTGAACTATATATGAAACTGAAATTAGGTTAATTTTAACTTTTATAATAGTTAAAATATTTGAAATTAATTTAACTTTAATCTTTCAAAAGTTAAAATTGTTAAATTAGATGTTGAATAATTATCTACAATCATTAAAATTTAATAATAAAAGTATTTTAAGAATATCTCAATATTTAATGATTAAAATTTAATGATCTATTTAAAAATTCTAATTGAGATAAATTGAATGAAAGTAAAATTATCTTAATAATATTAATATTGACCATTTTATTTTTACTTATATTTTAAATATTTTATTTATAATCTCAATATTTCATAATCAGATTCTGATAATCTTTATACTATTTATCTTATTAAGAAAATTCAAATAATATGTATTTCATATTTATATTTTTAATATTAATAGAATTATTACAATTTAAAGTTTTATTATTTTGCAACTATTTAAAATCATATAATATAATGTAATTTTGGTTAATTTTGACTTTAATTTTAGGTTTTCAAAACTAAAATATTTTAACTTAACTTTAAGGATAGTATTAGTTTAGTTTAGTTTAATTTATAAATTGGCAGTCTTAATAATAAACTGAATTGATTACAGTTTATTATTTAGTACATCAAACTGCAATTAAACTGCAATATAAAAGAACTTGCTTATTTATAAGATAAATTAGTTACTTTAGGCTTAAAGTAAAAATCATATATATAATTCTTTGCAGATTCACTATAAAAGAAATTTTATATTACATTATTATGATTTTTTTCTTTTTTAGCTAATTAACCAATAAAATTTAAGAAAAAGTAAGGTAAAAATCATTAGTAAAGAGCTAATTTTTTACAGTATTCTTTATTATAAATAAGTGGAATTTTAGTACAAATCACAATTGTTAATTTTATATTTTTTTTCTCACAGTATATTTGTAATTTTTATTAAAGTATATATATAAAAGAAATATTACAAAGTAAATATCAATTAACTATTCTAATATAATTAAAAGGTGTTAATTTTATAATTTTTATTTAATAATAATTTTACTTCATATTAAAGATTAAAATTGGCTTGAACTGCAATTTGATAAACTATGGTTTGAAATATTCAAACTGCCTAGTATCAGTTCAGTTTCTAAACCAGTTTTACTTAAACTGATACCATTCCTATTTATATATAATGCTAATTTTACTATAAACTATATAAATAAATTTTATATGATTATATAAAATCATACTTACAATTAGAAGATACTTATTAAATAAATATTAAAAATATATATTATTATTATAATCAGTTTATAATCAAAGTTAATTAATTAAAAAAGAGCTTTATTGTTTTATTATTTCATCTGAATTAAACCTGAATTTTTTTGTACAAATATATAGAATTATAATGTAACAATAAAGTATAAAATTACTAAAATAATCAAATATAAGGATATTTCAAAATAGCAATTATATAAGAAAAAGTTTTATAAATGCAAAAGTATAAAATAAAGTATATATTTGGTAATATTCAAAATAGAATTATATATAAAAAATAAAAAAATTATGTTTTAAATATCACTGCTGATAGGTAAAAAGAGGTTGAAAAGATAGAAAAATTCCAAAGAATGCAAAAGAAATAAAAAAAGTATGAAAGTTATGAAGCCTAATTAATTTAGTATATCTTTTATATCTTTGGCAAATATATGAATTACAAGTTTGACACTTATGTTTTATCTCTAGCAATCAAATAGGTGTTAATATAATTGAAAAATTTGTTAAAAAAAAAATAAATACAAACCACTATATACTAATACTTTGATAATTATGATTTTATTATTAAAATTAACCAAAATGTAAATGATAAAATAAAAAATAATTTTGACAATTTTAATATGATGAAATTCACTAATTTTAACAAGTAAATATAACATCATCCAATGAAATTGCAAATTAGAGTTTTATTTTTCTTTTCACTTCGGATTTACAATAGTTAATATTAGTAATTTTATTTTATATTTATATTTTTATTATATAATTCTTACAATTATACTATAAAATATTAAAATCGGGTATGGAATTATTTGTAATTTGTTAAATAGATTTTATTGTATAAAAAACTAAATATATTAATAATTTATATGTAAGAAGGCAATATTTATTTATTATATATTAAACATATACAGTATAAAAGTATTGCTAAATTATCAACCAAAATTAGGGTAGAATTTTGGGTAGAATTAAAAATGTTAAAAAAACTTTCTTACTAATATCTTTTAATACTGGTACAATAATATCAAACCTTTTTGACTCTTTTACATGAATCAATTTCAACCCAATTATTTTTTTGTAAACACACACAGATGTACCCAGACTCCCAGAGTCCAAAGAGAGATTTATTTTTAAACTATTAAATAAATAAATATATTTAATATTTATTTAATATTTATTTAATCTTTTTATTTTTTTTTTACTTATTAGCGATTACAACATTTACTTATAAAGTATGAATTCATTTTTGTTATACATTCTAAATAATATAATTGAAATTACGTAATTTATCAAATTAATATAAATAAAGTATAAATCATTTTAAATAATAATTAAATAATAATTAAATAGTAATACAAAATTACAAATTACCGAATTTTTAAATTAATTTAGAATAAAACCTAAAATAAATGTTAAGTTTTAAAAAATAATAATAATAATTCTAACCATATTATAAAAATATTACTAATACAAAAGATTTAATTGTTCAAAACGAAATTATACACAAAATCATTAATTAATCATTTATTAGTTAGGGAAATGTCACTCAATTTTAATAAAAAAATTTCTTTTTTACGTGATAAAAAAAAAA